TTTTCCAAAATCGAAATGCTGACTTTTATTTCTTTGCTAAAATCAGAACTGATTACTCATAAACGAAGGATGTCACCTCCAAATTGTTTGATAAGGTCTTCGGGGTCTAGAACGTTGCCTAAAGATTTTGACATTTTATGACCTTTTTCATCAACTACAAAACCATGTGAGAGAACTTGTTGATAAGGTGCGCGGCCAGTAAGAATAACCGCAGTAATTAATGAAGAATTAAACCAGCCACGAAATTGATCTTGACCCTCGACATAGAGGGTAGCAGGTCAGTTATTTTTTCTCATTTTTTGGATAATATATAATTTTACACTAATTATTTATCTGCTTTTCTCAAAACACACCAATGAGAAACTCCACTATCCAACCAAACATCCATAATATCTTGACCCAAAACTGTCTGGCTGTTTATCAAGGCTGAAAATCTTGTTCGCAAAAGCGTCAAAATACTGCCATCAAATCAACAAACAGAACCTCGCTCGGAAACTACTTCTGCCACATAATCAATAATTTCCGAATCAAGTATCGGCTCATTATTTTTATAAAAAACAGGAATAGGCACGCCTCATTTTCTTTGTCGGGAAATACACCAATCTTCACGGGCCGCTATTATTTGTTTCATTTTTTCTTCTGTTCAATTAGGATATCATTTTACTTTTTTGATATTCTCCAACAATTCTTTTTTTATTGCTTCTACTTTAATAAACCACTGCTTAGTTAAGCGGTAAACCAGGGGATTTTTATCCCGTCAATCATGGGGATAACTGTGGGTAATGACTTCTTTTTTTACTACTAAATTTCTCTTTTCTAAATCAGCAATAACATACCGGTTAACTTCCGTGTAATGCTTACCAACCAATTCCAGAACTCCAATTTTTTCATTAAATAAACCGTTAGGCTCTAAAGGACATTCAATGACCAATTTTTCCTTTTTGGCGGTCGTAAAGTCTTCGACTCCAAAAGCGGGTGCTAGATGAACAAGACCAGTTCCCTCTCCTTCCTTAATAAAATCGCTGCCATCTACAATATATCCCCAGACCCTTTTCCGATAAGGGTGAAAATAGGTTAATTCTAGCAATTTTTCTCCTAAAAACGTTTTTTCTACTTTTGATTTTTGCTCGGAGTATTTTTCTAAAAAGGGAAATTTGTTTTCGAGAATTATTAAGTATTCGTTGTTATATTCAACTAGGGCGTAAGAGGCCGTTTTTTTGACCGCTACTAAATAATTAGCCGGAATAGTCCAAGGTTGGGTGGTTCAAATGAGAAGGTTAACATTTTCTTTTCCAAAAAAAATATCCGCTAATCTAATTTTGAAATACAGAGAAGTATCCTTTTTTTCTAAATATTCAATTTCAGCCTCGGCTAAGGCCGTTTCATGTCCGCAAGACCAGTAAATTGGTCTAAATCCTTGATAAACCAAGCCTTTCTTTGCCATTTCTCCAAAAACTCGAATTTGTTCAGCTTCATATTCTTTATCTAAAGTAATGTAATATTTTTCATAGTTCGTAAAAAGTCCGAGTTTTTTTAATTGTTCCTTTTGGGTTTGAACTTGTGACAGGGCAAAATCATGACAAACTTGCCGCAAGTTTATTTTTTGACCTTGGTGAACCTGAATCATTTTGTGTTCAATTGGTAGTCCATGAGTATCCCAACCCAGCAAAAAGGGAGTATATTTGCCCTCGCTGGCCTGAAAACGGACAATAATGTCCTTAATAATAAAGTTTAAAAAGTGTCCGATATGTAATTTACCATTAGCGTATGGTGGGCCTGAATGGAGGATAAAAGGCTGATTATTGCGGTTTTTTT